AAAAAAAAAAAAAAAAGAAGGTAGTTCCATTCAACAGGACTCAGTAGCTGGTGTTAATTCGAACTTTGAGAATCTGACCCTGAGCATGTTTAAGCACAATTAGTGAAAAGTTTCCTGGTGATAATTAACTCAATCCCATGTGCACAACTAAAGCTTAAGCTGGGACTGCATCAACACTGCTTGTAAAGTTAAAGTGCCATCTTCCAGAAAGATGGGTTCTAAAGAAAACGGAGAAAAAAGTTCAAGATAAACAAGCGTGAGAAGGTTTGGAGGACAGCGCTGTAGACAGACGGCTCAAGATAAGGGTCTGCGGATCCGCGTGGCCTGGCCACACAGATAGTCACCAGAAATGGTCACCAGGCTGTTAACTGTGTCAGTGCCTTCTGGGTAGGAAAACGGGTGGTACATCTCTCCCTTTGAAGAGACAGCCCTGTTTTGTTTTTGTTGGTTTGTTTGTTTCTTGGTTTTTCGAGACAGGGTTTCTCTGTGTAGTTTTGGTGCCTGTCCTGGAACTCACTCTGTAGACCAGGCTGGTCTCGAACTCACAGAGATCCACCTGGCTCTGCCATTTGAGTGCTGGGATTAAAGATGTGCACCACTGCTGCCCTGCAGCCCTGTGTGTTTAACCTTCCTGGTTTCCCCTAGTGCTGATCTGTGAGCACAAGGACCTCCATGCCTCCCACAGAGCAGTTAAAAGAGTCATGGTGGTTCTGGTGGCCTGGGATAATTCCAGGTCTTTCTAAAGATGATGTGACACCTGGGGACAAGTCCACAGATGGGACCTCATGTGCAGAGACATAGATGGGGGCATCAAGAGCATGGCACGGCCTGGTTCAGCAGGTGCAGTGCTCATCGCACAAGCCTGATGACCTGAATGCTACCCCTGGAGCCCAGGCGGAAGGGGAGCTGACTCCATGAGGTTGTCTTCCGATCTCCACATGCGCACCATGGGTACGTGTATCCCTGCCCCACTGATAAAGGTATCTATAGCATGATAGGGAACGAGGGAGAGGTCCACGGGCCAGGCCTCTGGGATGCATGGCTGGGGAGAAGAGTGGAGAGGAAGACTGAATTGGGGCAATGGGGTGCAGGAAGGAGTGTGGTAAAGGAGACCCAGGTTAGTTAGTTTCCCCATGACCTTAGCTCCCTCCTCTCATTCTGTATGAGCTGCTTGAGGACAAGATCTAAGACTCTGGCTTCATTATCCCCAGGTCTCTGGATATGGAGGGAGATAGATGGCAGAGGGCTGGGCCCAGGAGACAGGCCAGAGCATCCTAAAGCTCGGGACAAGGAGTGGTGCAGTTTTCTGAGGATACAAAAAGCCCTGGACGGCTTGTGCTGAGGACTATTGTCCTGCGATTACAACTTTCAAGAGGTGCAAAGAGTCCTGGGGTCACATGTGACAGGGCGAGACAGTGCCGAGGTTCCTCCATCTCGTATTCTTGCTGAAGCCATTTCAGGTTTAGCTAGAATTTGATCTCCTTGATAGAGCATCTCGTGGAAAATTACCCAGTCCTGTTTTTGGAACCCAAGGTTGGGATGTCCTAGCTAATTTAGCATCTGTTAAATTGTCTGCCTGTTCGGAACTCCCTCGAACTAACTGCCTACCCTAGCTTCTATTAAAATTGCTTACTTCTGAAAAGCCCCCTACAGCTGCTGGGCGAGATGCCAGGATTCTGCCTTTAAAAACTCCATGTTCTGGACACTCGGGGCCACACCTAGGTCCTTGAATGCCTGGGTGTGGTCCCAACTGGCTGGAATAAAGACATTCAATTGGCTGTAAACTGTGTCTGAGTGGTCCTTTCTGGTGGGCTCCTTGTAACACACCTACTCCAAAGCATCTCTACAACTGAGGCCCAGAAAGGCAAAGAGACTTGGTGTCATATGCTGACTTGCCAAGTAGTCGCATGACAGGGTTTCTCTATGTAGCTTTGGCTATCCTGCAACTCACTCTGTAGACCATGCCGGTCAAGAATTCACAGAGATCCTGTCTCTGCCTCTGAAAACTAAGTCAGGGCTGTCATATGGCTCTGCAGATAATGTGCAGCCAAGATTGATGACTCAGGTTTGGTCTCTGGAGCCTACTCAGTGGAAAGAGACGTGTCTCCCACACATGGTCTTTTGACCTACACACACACACTGGAGCATGTGAACTCATATGCATGAGCACTCACAAGTTTAAAACAAAACAAAAAAAAGCTAAAAGTTTCTATCATGGGTGTGGAGAAGGACAGGCGTCCTCAAGTTAAAAAAGTAAGTACAAAGCCAGGCAGTGGTGGTTCACGCCTTTAATCTTGGCATTCAGGAGGCAGAGGCAGGCAGGTCTCTGTGAGTTCGAGGCCAGCCTGGTCTACAGCAAATTTCAGGATAGCCAGAGCCACACAGAGAGATCCTATCTCGAAAAAAGTACCCGACTGAGGCTGGAGCCCAGTGGTAGGGAGCTTGTTTAGCGTGTCTGAAGCTCTGGGTTACACACCTGCCATGGAGGTGGGGTGGCTGGGGAGTCAGCCTAGTGGGCAGAGTGCTTACTGTGCAGTCATGAGGACCCGAGTCTGGAACCCCCAAAAGTCCAGAACCCCAAATCCATGGAAATAAAGCCAGTCTTGGTGCTGTGCACTTATGTTAGAACATGGTCCAGACATGGAACCGGGGGAGGAGACTTCTGAGAGCTTGAGAGAACACTCCAAGAAAACAAGATGAGGCTTGTCACCTCCGTTTCTTCCAAACAGAACTGTTCTTGGAACGCTTTTTTGTGCTCCTCCCGGGAGCAGTGGATCGTTTATTTCAGGTTCCTCATTATTGCTTGCTGGTGTTATTCAAGTTAATGCCTCTATGGGAAAACATGTTTTTGCCATTTTCAGCTCGGCCTTGGGATTCTACACAGCTTGAACTCATGAGAACTTTAGTCCTGTGTGACCTTTTAAAAAAATTACTTATTTTTATTTGTGTACATTGGTATTCTGCCTGCACATTTGTCTATATGGGTGTCAGATCCCTGGAACTGGAGTTACAGACAGTTGTGAGCTGCCGTGTGGGTGCTGGGAGTTGAACCCAGGTCCTTTGGGAGAGCAGCCAGTGCTCTTAACCACTGAGCCATCTCTCCAGCCCCAAGATTTGTTTTCCCAAAGATTTATTTAATTATTATTTATACAGTGTCCTGCCTACATGCCAGAAGAGGGCACCAGATTGAATTACAGATGGTTGTGGGGAGTTGAACTCGGGACCTCTGGAGGAACAGCCAGTGCTCTTAACCTGTGAACCATCTCTCCAGCCCCATGCTTAGTTGTCTGAAAGACTGATTTTATTTTTAGGTATGTGTGGGCACATGCAGATTGAGAGGAGGCCGGAAGAGGGCATCAAATCATGGGTGTTATCCGTCCAACCTAGTTGCTCAGACACAAAGGCCCTGAGCCGTTTTCCCAGCCCTCTGCTGTTGGTTCAGTTTTTATTTTTTATTTTAATGTAGATTTCTTTAGTCATTGTGATTGGGTGTGTGTACGCCACAGTGCACATATAAAGGCCAAGAACAACTGTGGGAGTCAGGTCTCTCCGCGTACCCTGTGAATCCTAGGAATCAAGGGCAGGTCACCTTTTCCTACTGAGTCATTGCCAGCCCCTGCCTGGTGGCTTGGACAATTGTTTAAGAATAATATTTGTGGGGGTTGGGGATTTCGCTCAGTGGTAGAGTGCTTGCCTAGCAAGCGCAAGACCCTGGGTTTGATCCTCAGCTCCAAAAAAAAAAAGAGTATCTGTGTTTTAAGGGCTTTGTTTGTCTTGGGATATTTTGCTACTGCAGTTGACTGCTTGGAGGAACAAGAAGACTTTTTGTAGTGCTTTGATACTACCTGTTTTACATCCATTGCCTTGATGGCGTTCCTTGTCCAAGCCTGTGGTCACCTGTCCTCCCCAGCTAGGACTTTACAAATAGGATTCATCAATTTAGGCAACACCATACTGCCACTGCTCAGGGAAGGTGATGATGTGGCCACCACAGCTGTTGATTTTTACTCCTCCCTCCCCTTTTTACTGTCTCCTTTCCCCCTCCCCCTCCCCCTTCCCTCCCCCTTTTGGAAATGGCTCGGGAACTGGGCAGTGGAGGCTGAGTAGTTGAGGGGACTAAGTGAGAACATGGAACAGGCCTTTTTTTTTTAATTTATTTATTTATTATGTATACAGAAGAGGGTGCCAGATCTCATTACAGATGGTTGTGAGCCACCATGTGGTTGCTGGGAATTGAACTCAGGACCTCTGGAAGAACAGCCATTGCTCTTAACCTCTGAGCCATCTCTCCAGCCCATTCACTTATCTTCCCCCCAATGCCATTTATTGAAGGAGGGAGGAGGTCTTAAATACAGGCTTACAGCACAATGGGAGAACCCAGGAGGCAGAAGTTTGCAATGTTTTACAGTCTTGCATCTAAGCTGTTAACACGCATTATGCAGGAAACACAGACATTCAGGAGGGTGAAACCCGGGAGGGAATTAGCACAGGGAGGATATCAAGGTCAAGGTCAGCAAGCAAGGCAACAGTTACCCAAAACGGGGGCCAGGGACCTGTCCCCCTTTTACTAATAAATGAGCTTCTGATTTAGGTTGCGTGGGACGTCAGCAGGTCACCTTACCCGCCATGGAGATGCCTGCCCAGGCCACACAGGCGCTCTGTCTTAGGTTGGTGAGTGCCCCCCAGGCATTACCTGTCTCTGAATACTCATTATCATACCGGCGTGATCGTGTGTGAGCTGCCAAAGATCTCAAAGTGGCACTGGGCTTACAATCTGTGTGGAACAGACCTTCTTTATACTGGCTTGCACAGCATGCTGCTGGCACATTCTTTTCCCTTGAATGCATTACATTTATTGGTTTATTTATCTATTGGAATGGAGGAAGTAAGTGTACCACAGCATATATGTCAGGGGGTGAGGGAATGAGTTCTTTGTTTCCACCATTTGGGATCAAGGTTTTGGGGAATCAAACTCTGGTCATCAGACTTGGCAGCAAGTGTCCTATGCCTCTGAACCATCTCCCACCCCACCCACTTTAAAGACAGGGTTTCTCTGTGTATCCCTGGTGGTCCTGGAACTTACTTACTCTATAGCCCAGACTGGCCTTAAACTCAAAGATCCACCCGCCTCTGCCTCTCTCGTGCTGGGGTTAAAGGGGTTCACCACCGCACCTGACCATGTGGAGCAGTCTATCGTGGGAACTGGCATTGTGGGGGTACAGAGGGGAGGAGACACTGGTGTGTCTGCTTAGCAGTTTGTACTCCCAGCCATTGGGGACTCGGCACTGTGCTCATACACTTGTTTTCAGTGACACAGTGACTGCTGAAGCATCATTGTGTTAAATTAATGCTGTCAAATTTGGATATTTTGTTTGATTTTGCGTTCTGGTATCTTAGCTCTTAACCAAATATATGTGTTTTTTTTTTCTTTATGTTTTTAGGTATAGCTGTAAGATATTTGTATATAGGAAATGTGCTGTTCTTGCAGTCTTGATATTCAGGGTAGATTGTAAAATATGAATTTGGCAGACTGGGTGTATAAGAGCAATCACCGTTCTCACAGAGGACTTCACCTCTCCTCACTGGTTAGCCCTCCTGTGCAGACTCAGTCTGCCCTTCTGGCATCCCCCAGGCTCTACCTGGTCCTGTCTTCATCAGTTCTCATCTTGTTGTTGAACTGTATCCCTGTATCACAACCCTGTCTCTGAGGACTTCAGACCCCATCCAACAAATAACCGCAGTTATAACACAGGTTATAAGTAACCCTGGGCTTTCCATGTTATATATAGTTTTAACTTTTTAAGTGATTTTTTTTTTATTTTATATACATTGGTGTTTTGCCTGCATGTATGTCTATGTGAGAGTGTTAGATCCCCTGGAACTGGAATTACAGGCAGTTGTGAGCTGGGAATTGAACCCGGGTCCTTTGGAAGAGCAGTCAACTGCTGCACCATCTCTCCAGCCCCTCCATGTTGTATTTTTAAGCTATGCTTCCACCATGGAAACTACATCTTTCACATGGTGGTTCATAACCACCTGTAGCTCCAGTTCCAGGGGTTCCTGTTCCTGATGCCTCCACAGGGACCAACACTCAATTGCTACACAGACATACATGCAAGAAAATACTCATTTATACAAAATAAAGTAGATCCTTAAAAAAAAAAAAAGCTATACATGGGCCACGCAGTGGTGGCTGTGTGTCAAAAAATAAAATAAAATAAAATAAAATAAAATAAAATAAAATAAAATAAAATAAAAAAGCCATACATGGCCTCCAGTGCCTGTGGCCCTAGCATTTGGGGGCAGAGACAGTGGAACCCAGGAGCTCTTTGGCCAGTCAGACTAGCTAGAAGGTGAGCTTCGGACTGAATAGAAGACCCTGCCTCTAAAAATAGGGTGACAAGTGACCGAAGAGCTCTCCAGTGTCATCTCAGTGTCATTCCACGCGTGCGTCACTTATGCATATTGTTTAAAAAATGGCGACTACAAGGCGGATGTAAAGGAGATGGTTATAGCAAGGCTACTGAGGGGGAGGACAACTGCATAAAACAGATAACTTTGAATAAATATTTTGTATCACTTTAGAAAAGAAAAAAAAAAAAAGGACTTCCCGAACAAAAGCCTTTCTTCCCGATTACTTGTGTGTTACCCGCCTTGTCGTCCCTGCTCAGCGTGGCTGTTGTGTGGGTCTCTGCTTTCCTTTTCTAAGGTGGTTTTATGCCATCTTTTATCCCAGGCTGACTGAATAAAGAACAAGGTTGGAGTGGGAAAAGAGAGGAGACTTTTTGTCTGCCAGTTCACAAAAAATTGGAAAATGGATTTTGTCAAGAGAATGGACGTCATCAATATCACCGCCTTGCCAATGATCCCGTTGGACGAGCGCCTGGTGGTGTCTGCCAATTCGAGGAAAGTGCTGGAGAATGCTTTGAGGAAGCAGCTGCAAGACAATCCACCCAGTATCCTTCCATGTTGTCACCCACAGTCAGACCACGTACCTCTAACTGAGCCTTACCTGTGCTGTGATGAGTGCGTAGGCTCATATATGTTACCTGTTAGCCCACGCTACATACCATGGTCCTGTGTCGCCTCTAAAGGAATGTGATGTTTTGAAGGGTTGTTCAACTTGAGGTTTAATACGTGCGCGAGCGGGCGCGCGCACACACACACACACACACACACACACACACACACGTTTGGTTTTTCGAGACAGGGTTTCTCTGTGTAATAGCCACGGCTGTCCTGGAACTCACTTTGTAGACCAGGCTGGCCTTGAACTTAGATCCTCCTGCCTCTACATCCCAAGTGCTGGGATAAAGGTGTGTGCTACCACTTCCTGGCTGAGGTTTATTTGTTTGTTTATTTATTTATTTATTTATTTATTTTTAAGCATTTATTTATTTGTATTTTATGTACATTGGTGTTCTGCCTGCATGTATGTCTGTGTGAGAGTATTGAATCCCCAGGAACAGGAGTTGTTATAGACAGTTGTGAGCTGCCATATGGGTGCTGGGAATTGAACTCAGGTCCTCTGGAAGAGCAGCCAGTGCTCCTAACCGCTGAGCCATCTCTCCAGCCCCTCTGAGGTTTATTTTTTAAGCAGAAGGAACTCAAAAGACAGATGCCCAGGTTGTATCTGTTGAAAGAGGGAAAAAGTTTTTGATTGGCTCCCCTTACTTCTGCCTTTCTAAGAATTAGGGCTGTGAATATAATCGACAGCAACTAGGAAGTCAGGAGCTAGCCCTCTGTCCCCAGAGAGGTGAGCTCACCACCCAGATTGTTCATTTCCTCTGGTTGACCTCACCTCTCCTCACCTGCTCGCCCTCCTACTCAGGCTCAGTCTGCCCTGCCCCTCTGGCATCCCCCAGGCTCTATCTACCCCTGCTCTCTCCCTGGTCCCACCTTCACTGAACCTCATCTCTCCACTGAACTGTGTCCCTGCATCAGAAAACCCCATCTCAGTCCATCCAGCAAACAGGCCTCTCAAGTTATAAATAACCCCAGGCCTTGCTGCTACCAGGCAAACTGCAGCTTCCACTCTGCCTCTCCCTTTCCACATTCCTCTCCCAAGCCCTTGTCAGGAGAGCAGCTAGAGTGAGCCCATCTGACTCTCTCGATTGAGTCTTACCTTCTTGGGTCTCCTTCTAATGCCCTTCTTAATCCCACACTCAACTTGGCCCAGTCTGCGTCACATGTCCCTCTTGGTGTCTTGGCTTACCAAGTGCCTTCCCCACGGGAAGAACACTTGAGGGTAATGGAAGGGAGAATGAGCCTGCTTCATGGAGAAGGAGTGGAGCGGCAGGATTATGAGGCTTACAGAGGCCACATCCTGGGAGACCCTGAGGCTAAGATGTGAAATGTAAAGGTGAAAGGTAACAGATAGGGTAGGACCGATCAGATTCAAAGAGAGGTTCCCCTGCGAGCTGATGACAGCAGGTGCCCTGTGGCCCCGTCATCCCACACCTGAAAATCTCTCTTAAAGAAATATCCCAGGGGCTGGAGAGATGCCTCCGCTGTCAAAAGTGCTTGATAGTTCAGTTCCGTTACCAGCGCCCACATCAAGCTGTTCCCGCCACCTGTATCTGTCACCCCAGGGGATCCACAGGCACTGGCATTCAAACACAAACATATATGTACAAAATTAAAACATTTCCTTCCCCCAGACGGTTTCTCCGTGTAGTTTTGGAGCCTGTCCTGAAACTCACTCTGTAGCCCAGGCTGGCCTCTAACTCACAGAGATCCGCCTGCCTCT